CTTTTATATATATTTTTTATATATTTTTTAATAGGTCCAAACTGTTTAACTCCATGGAAGTCTCAAGAGGCTGAAGTAGCAGATCTCCCCAGTAAGGTGCTGCTTCATTATACACCAAAGGTATGAAACAATACATAATTTCTCTTTGATTACACAGTGTGCAGTAATTTCAGAGTATGTTCTAGATGGTCTTTTTTTTTGCTTTCCTATTGCTATTTCACAGAACAGGTGAGCCTGCCATCTTTATGCTGGGGTAGTTATGGGAAGATCAGGAGGAGTGAGAGCTTTCTTAAACTGTAGTCTTGTGCAGAGATAATAGGTTTTGTTCTTGTTCGACAAAAGGACAGGATTATTTTGCACAATTGTGAATGTCAAATCTAAGATAACATATATGATGTTCCATCATTCTTTAAGCCTTTAATATCAACACAATGACACTAACTTCCTGAAAAGTATTATGTATCATTCAGGAATCTTATATGTTCAAGGATCTGTAACTTGTTTCCTAAGTGATATTATAGCCTCTTCATTTGTTTAATAGGCCTGCAGAAACCCAATTTGTCTTGACCTGTCTGCAAATCTTTTACACGGAAGACTAACCGGAAACAAAGTAGTGAACTGGGACATCAAGGTAAGTGCATATGAAGAAGCAGAACCTGATGTAAATACGACAGTGGTTGTATATGTTCATCTAACTTTTTGAATGCCTGAAACTATCATTGTAATGTAAATGATATTTAGCAGATACAGCATGTTTTTGTAGTTTGTGTTAATGGATTAATCCTGTATCTGGAGTAGAATTACATTACATTTATTGAGAACTTACAAGGGCTACTGCTTTTAATGGCATAGATAATGCATTAAGATATTCCTGTTGTGTATTGAAAGCATTTTGTCATCTCTAGGGGATTCTGTCATGGTTTTCTTGCAGTCTTAAACTCTGAATTAGATCAGTAGGGTTAAGTTAACACTTGTGATTTTTGCTGTGTTAGTCATGTAAAAAAAAAAAAAATTACTAAATTGCAGACTAACTTCACCAGAGAACAAGGTCTGGAGTTAAAATATTACAAGAATCTAGAATTTTTTTAAGACATAACTAGATTAACTTATCTTATTTACTTTTGGTTTGGGGTCGGCAGGACTAGATGATCTTGCAGTCCAAAAGCCTCATGTCAGAAAAAACACCACTATTCACTGAAATGTTAGACCTTATTCTGTTTCTGCTATACACTAATTGTCTAATATTTTTTCCTTATTGTTGGACACATTGGGATATCTGATCCTTACAGGCTATGCAAATCATCTTTTAACATTTGCTAGCAGTTGTAAACACAACACTACTGCTATATTAGTATTGAGCTTAAAATGTAACATTTTCTGGCTAAACCTGTTTCTAGTCTCCTGCTCAAATATTCTATTATAGCAAAACTGTCTTTTATACGTTGGGGTTTGGGTTTGGGTTTTTTTGTTTGTTTTTTTTTTTTTTTCTTAACCAACACATAGGGTCCTTATGTCCTTCTGGTTAATCAGTTAATTTCTTAGTCTCATGCCACCAACACTTCAGATCTGACTTTATACTTTAGAATTAAAACTCACAGTTTTGTCAACTCAACACTGCCAATGCTCCACAAACAGAATACCATTTAGGCAAATTACACGTTCATTAGATATCTTCTGTGTAAAATACCAAATGGTCTTCTACTTGCTAGTTGATGGAGAGGAGGAGGAAACCATGAAATTCACACCAGCTTAATAAATACCTTTGTGTACCTGTCTGCTTATTTGTTCTCTGATCACTAACACATATTAATATCAAAAATCACAGTCAGGCTTAGCTCTGTGCATGAGGAAATCAAGTTATTTGCAGCATCGGAGTTTGACTGAGAAACAGTGAAATAAATAAGGATTTATTTCTTTTAAGTTTAGATAGGATACATCCAATTCTGTTTTATAGGCAGAATCTTTGATTAAGGACTCTTAGCTTTGAGAAAAAAATTTTTATTTTTTCTCAAAGTCTGAGTGTAGAAAACTTCTCAGTAGAATACCACATCTTGTTTTGTCTTCAGGTAAAATGTATGAACAAATAAATACAAGCTGCTTTTTTTTTTTTTAAGAACAGTGAACAATCAACTGTACTAGCAAACTAATTAATAAGGTAGTATTGTTGGAGCTACACTGTGCATATACCGACTTGTGGAGATTAGTATTAATACAGATGCTAGCTAGTTAATTTTGCTATGATATTAATAGTTTGAAAATACTGCAATTTCTTCTCTTCACCCAGTAGTGGGAAGAGGAGTGTTTATATCTCTAGCTTTATGGGAAAGCATATTGTGAGTACAAGTTTTAGGAGAATCATTCATTAACAAACATGATGGGATTTAGCACCCTCTTGAGGAGGACTAGAGTGAGGAAAAACCACAAGAGCTGATGAGGAGCTCATGAGGAGATAGGTACGGCCTAGAAGGAGCTGCAGTTACTGCTATCTGGTGGTTCAGACAAATTCTGTTGTTTGACTTTAAGTTGATTTCTGTTTCCAAAAGCTGCAAGTCTGTGGTCCCTCTTGTTTTGCTCAACAAACATAGAAATCTTCATCCATGAGATAAATTTTGCAGCTATAAAAAATTTTCTTAATTTAACTGTTCAATTTTGTTAAATTCACCTTAATAAACGTGGACTGGAGAGGGGGTATCATAAAAGACATATGGAGCAGAATAATAATTGAAAAAGTAGAAAATGATGGAGAAGAAAAGGGTGGTTTTCTCTACTTCTACCCAACATTTCTGACTGGGAAGGTGGAGTGGTATCCCACATTAATAGGCTGGCTTACAGGATGTTGGAGTTTTTTGGCTGTTAAAATTTTACTACACAATGGTTTTCAGTGGACTAAGCTGGGCAGTTGAATAGGTGTCTTTGGTTAGCTTGCTGAGACTCTGATTTTTTAAGTGACATTGTGAATCACTTCTAGAAATCTTGTGATTTGAATGTTCTGTACTTTACCACAAGAAGCGTTGTTTGAAGTCTCATGCTATCCCTGCTTGTGAGGAGGCAGGAAAAAAAGGGGGCTTAGGAGACCTGAATCTAAAAAGAGGCTTAGAATTGAGGTATGTGAAAAGTTACTTTAAAAAAATTAATCACATCTTATTTTTTAATTGCATGAAGTTGAGATCTTACAGGGATATAATTAAAGCACAGATGTGTATAACCTGCTCTCACTGCTTGCTGCAAGTAACTTAGAAATGGGAAAAATATGTTTTTCCTGTTTTTTCAAATATATTTAGCAGAAGATTCTTTCTAAGATTTGTATCCTTCAGTTTCCCATGTTTATGTGGTGCGCAGTAGGAAGGAAATGTAAAAAATGCACGCTCAAAACGAGCTGACAGGAAGGCATATGTGTCATTGCAGTGTCTAAAACTTGGGCAGCTCTGTTGTTAAACACAGTGTTTTAAACTAGTTTCACAGTGGCATGTGAATAATTTGGGAGTATGTATTTGGGAGTTCCTTGTATTTGGAGTAAATTTCTGTTATGTAGTCTAGAGAATTTTCTTTATGATGATGTTTTTCCTCCCTTTTCTCTTGATTTAGGATATGATCAACTGTATTGGTGGAATAAATGTGCTGTTTCCGTTGCTGGAGCAGATCAGCTTTCTTGGTGGACAGATGCCTGAGAAGTCTGAAGGGGAAACTCTACCTCCAGAACTGGTTACTCCTGTAGAGGGAGACTGGGTGGTATTGTCATCCACAAAGGCGTCAGGTATGAAAGTACAGTTGAACTGCAATAACTTTTATGCTTGATTTTTAAAAGTCTTCCTGTGAATGACAGAAAACTGTTTTATTATGTGCTGGCTTTTCTGGAGTACCTATGTAAAGCTGAAAGGATCGCTCTGTTCTTAGATAGGACGTAAATACTGAATACCAGGAGTTCAGCACTATGTAAAATTAACTTACATATTTTAAATTTAGCAATATTTAATAGCATTATTTTTCTTTTCATGATTTACTATTACATTAGTATAAAAGTATGCAGTTTTAAAATTTCTATTCTGAAAAGTTTGTTCTGATTATTCTGAGAAATTGTTTGATGCGAAGCCTACTAATATCAATAGGAGGAGCTTTACTACAACTTGAGTCAGAGCCACAAGAAGATGTTGCAGCATCAGAACAATACTGTTTAGCCTTTAGCCAAACTTGTATTTTCTTAGGAAAATGTTCAAACTCCTACCTTGTCCACACAGTCAGATTTTAGTATTAAAATAAATTTAAAAAATGGAAAGGAAGCTTTAAGAATAGATTTTTTAAAGCTGTGCTCATATTGAAGATGAACTTTGATTTTAACAGAAACTACTGGGAAATCAGACCTTGAAAGGGAGAACAGCATTTTTTGTTTCAAATATGAAATGATGGAGTAAAATTTTAAAAATGTATCTCTCTCTGTCTCTTAATTTTTTGCGTATCATGGCTAGAAAGTGTCTGCAACTACACAGGGAGAACAACTGCAGCATATGTAAAAGGTTGTAAGTGAAAGAGAAGTTTGCCTATAACCTGCAGCCAGATGGATGAAGCAACTGAAGTCAGGACTGGGGTCACTTAGCTCTGGAGAGGCATAGAATGACTATGACTCTGCACTGGAAAAAGTTTAAAGACAGCCTACAGATAGGGAACAACCAGAAAAGGAGTTGAGAAGTTCAGGAAATAGTGAGGAATGTGAACACTTAATTTTACTTCTTCCTGTCTGTGATTATGCAGCGGTCCAAGAATAAACCATGAGGTTTTTGGTATTGTTGTGTTTTGCAGAAGCACGCTTGGAGAAGAACATTATTGCAACTTTCATCTTGATGATAAAACACTTTATTCAGAGACACCATGTTAATCAAGAAAATCTCATTCACTCCCATGGAGTTGCCACCCTAGGAGCCTTGTTACAGAAGGTAACAAGATTTTTTTAAAAAATGAAATTTATTAGGATATTCAATATTTTGAGTGCTAAAAGCTGTTGTTATTTTGAAAGGTGCCAAGCAACTTAATGGATGTGAATGTACTGATGGCTGTACAGTTGTTGATAGAGCAAGTCTCAGTAGAGAAGAACATGCAGCTTTTGCAACAGATGTATCAACACTTACTTTTTGACTTCAGTATCTGGAACAGTGGGGACTTTCCCTTCAGAATTGGTGAGCTCTTGGACTTGGACAACTGTGCAAAGACACAGTACTCTTCACTTGACACAAATCTTTATCTAGGTTCTAATAGAAAACCTTATATTGTAGGACATATACAATATCTTTCTACTATCATCAAAGACAGCAGAAGACTCTTCAGAAAGAAATATGGTGTGCAGTTTCTTCTAGACACACTCAGGATTTATTATGGGTATGAGTTTTACTACTTCTAACCCCTCCTTGTTTCTTGTATGTGGCTGTCGTGGGTTTTTTCCCCCATCACCCTAGTGAGAAAATTAATAAATAAAACTGCAGGTTGGCTTTTGGTGGTTGATTTAATTTTCAAAATGGCTTTTTTTTTTCCTATTTGACTTGCTACTTTTCCTTGACTTTAATTTTTATGATAGGATTATATAAAATTTGTGTCAATGATACTAGAAATGCTTGGAAAAGTCATTAAAATTACAAAATTGAGGGACTTGTTATCAACAATGTGAATTAAGTCATAAATCATTAACATTATGAAAACAGAGGATGTTTTATCATTTTAAGTTCTTTTATATCCTTGTAGAATTTGAAGTAGGACTTTTTTAGGAATTTAAAATTGACTTTCAGTCTTGATGATTTGTATCTGCTTATGAATATAGTTATGCCATTGAGGAGGATTGGCTAGAGACCTTGCCCTGCCCTTTGGAGGGTGTGTGTGGGGGGGGAACCTGTATCCAGATCAATACAAGTCTACATTTCAGGGCTTTTACAGACTTGGTAAGTCTCATCTGCTATTGCTTGTTACTATTCAGTTGCCCCACTTCAGTAAAAATTGATAGCTTGTGCCATGGTATCTTGGTAGATGAAAAATTACAAAACTAGCACAGTCAAATTGTTATTAATGAGTTATGAAGAACTTCCTTAGGTTGCTTTTCCTGTCTGTTGATTTATAGGAATGGCTGTAAAGACAGTGATTTGGCTCCTGATGACCTGAGAACAATACAGACATCCCTCTATGGACTGATCAAATATTTCCTGAGCAAAGGTGGAACGCATGAAGAAATACAGAGCATTGTAGGATACATAGCTGCCACCAGTGAAGAGGAGCAGGTATCCAATATGGCATAAACTAATAGTTAAAACTATACATGTTTTGGTTTTGCTTCTTGATGTTTAGAAATTTTGTGTGCATAAAGAGAGGGGAATGAAAAAGACCACAAGCAAAGTGTTCCTTGATGCGCGGTTCTGTTTAGGTGAACCTGAGGCAGGTTATAGAAGTACACTGGAAACTGACAAAGCGCTCTGCAGGTGGCCGTATTTATACTGGTTCTGGGGTTTTTTCCCCCCTCTCTGAAGAGGTCAGAAAGCATATGATGTGTAATACTGCCATTAGAAAAGTTCCCTTAGTTTACAAAACCAAATGAATTGGACTGCAACTGATCAGAAGTTGTAGTGATGCGGTTTCTATTTTGTAGACATCAACAGAACTTGAACTTGCTTTGTAGCTCTAATTACAGTTTGATAAGGTGTTCTATATATAGAAAAAGTGTATCCAAAATATCTGATTTTAAATGCAGTAATATTGGGCAGACAAAATGTCTATTTTGTAACAAGCAAAGGGTGAAATATAAAAGCCAAGAAAATTTTCCCCAAACAGAGCATGAAGTCTGAATGAACTGTGGATTAATTTTGTCTTAACTTTGTAGCTCTGTGGAATTCTGGACGTTCTCTTCAGCCTACTTCATTCCAGCCCAAGCCCAGACCAGCTTTTTTTATTGCTTTTTGAACCAGGGAATGCTGATATCCTTTACGCTCTGTTATTGCATCAAAGATACTCTGACAGGCTTAGAGAACTTGTGTTCAAGGTAATCAATTGAATTATTTGTTCTTAAATTAATCAATTGAAAATAAATTTGCATTTTTCAATGGTCTAATTGCAGAAGTGTATGCAATTGTAAAGATACTAATCATCCAACTTTTACTTTTTTCTTCTCTCTTCTGTTATGGTAGCTGGATGTTACTGTTTACTGCCATAGTCACAATGGAATCAGTGTTCTCTTTAGGTATTTGGATCTTTAAAAAGAAAAAAAAAAGTCAATGTTGTTTGAGTTAGCTTACAAAGTAAACTTTAAAAACAGTGGACCAGCATGTTATATCACACACAATTTTGTTTATTTTGCATTTGTGTGTACTTTTTCTTGCAGATTGTAGAAGAGATGCTGAAATGTACTAAAGTTTACGAACGTAGCAAGCACCGTATGAGACTCAGGGAAGTGGGATACTCTGGACTGGGGCTCCTTCTGAATGAATCGCCAGTTACTGTTTCTCTTATTAAAAACCTTCTAAACCAAGTTCTGTATGCAGGTAATTGGCAAGTGTTGTGTCTACCGTTAGTAAACTCCCTCTGCTCAGAGGCATGTATTTTGTTTATTTTGTTTATTTTGTTCAGGAAAACCACAGCTGTTACCTTACAACTTTGAACAGTCAAAGTTCACATTAGTCTTGGCTAGTGTTTTCTTAGTTCCCTGAAGTTTGTTCCCTTTACTACCCCTGGATGTAGAGGTGACCTCCAAGGCAGTTTTTAATATTTAGCTTTTACATTCTCTTGCATGATACTGTGTTGTTTTTTCTTTCTCCCCTACAGATCCTGCTGTGAATTATAAAGATCTCATAGCTGTAGTACATCTGGCTCATAGATCAGATATAAATGTGAGAGTGGTTATCTGTAGAAAGGTTAGTTGTCATCTTTAAAACTGGAATGCTGTCCTTTAAGCCCATAAACTGTACAGTGTTATATCTGAATTATTTATTTGAGACACAGTGGCAGTATTTGTTGCTACTGCTTTCTTTAGCAATTATTTATGTTAAACATGAAGCCCATCTGTCACTTAATGTTGAATTTTGTGTGTTCAAGTCCTTTTAAAAACCAAAACAGAAAGCAAAACCTCTGTCATGATTCTCAAATAGCTTGTATTTTCTACAAGTACGCTCCTTGAAATACTGAGTTTTCTCAAAGGATGCTTAAGACCATGGTCAAAGTTTTGTTTGTATTCTTAATATGTTATTTTGATAGAACATATGCTTCAAAAGAGTTGTTGTGGATGCAGGGAAGAGATAGGGAAGAAGCAGTGACTTTTTCCTAAACTGAGCGCTCTCTAGCTTGTATTACTGGAATTAATAGTCCTGAACGTTGCTGTGAGGCACTGTATTGTTTATTAAGGTGAAAAAAGTAAACCAATAATATCGGTAAGCTATTAATATTGCACCTTTCTTTATCTATTTGATAGTTCCCAATCAAGCATATTTTCTGTTCTAGATATTTTTTTTGTAGACTAGTGGCCGAATAGGATTATTTGTTGTGATAACTGACTTTTTGCAGGAATTATTGCAGAAGAGTGGCTGAAATATGAGGACTTACCAGTATACTTTGATTGTTTCGATAGTTTCTTTTCTCCCCTACTCCTGATAATTTTTTCTTTTTTTCTCAAATCTATATTTCTAATGAGAAAAATGATTTTGTAGCTTTTTGTTTATTATTCAGCCAATTGTGGCTCTTTTACAAGGTTCTGGACACCCCCCCCCCCCCCCAAAAAAAAAAAAAACCTCCAAAACTTTGTAAGATTGTAAAATGTCTAATTGAAATGCTAGAATGAATGCAGTTATGAGCTAAAATTAACGTGTAGGTATGGAATATCTTCTCCTGTCCTTAGGTTTTGCACCTTTTGCATTCCCAACTGGATGCAGCACAACAGATTTCTCTGCAGCTGGGCTGGCAGGACACTTTGATTAGACTGTTCTTGAAAGAAAACTCAGAGGTCCGGATTAGCTTTAAAGAGAACAGGGCCCGTTCCTCAAGGGAAGAGGAAAAA